TGTCAGATTTTAATGAGATGCTCTGTAATTTTGTACTCAAATGCATTCGATTGTCCCCACTCGTGATCTTGTTCACTACATTATAAGTGCATAAAACAATAGGGTGCCTATTTTTTCTATGATTTGTAATATAAACTCAAAATTGTTGATTAATGATTTATTATTTTAGTATTTCATAGTTTGATTTTGTCTTTTTCAAAATATAATTTGAATTTTTATAATGCTTTTTTGAACAAAAACGAAACATTTAAACGTTTTACACATTTGTACATTAATACCTTCTTTCATGATTGAAGATTTCTGTTAATATATTTTATAGCTAAACACGAAAGCAAGAGTTTTTGTGAAATATGATGTTCTTTCACCGTTAGATGCTAGGTATTAAAGCCACTGTGTATTATATCAAAAACATGTTTACCAATTGTGAATTAACATATGATTGTAAAGAAATTGTTTATACCCCTTCTAAATGGACATATCCTGTCGACTAATATATATATATACCGTAAATGTGTAGTTTAGTGGAAAAATGATCTAACTAATCATAATTTTTCGATGACTTTGAACCTATTCGATATTTGTTGCTTAAATAAAATTGTTTCGTTATAAGTTAGAAATATTCTTGTCTTTGAGTTATAGCTAACACATAACTAAATCAAATTATTGATTGAGATCATGAACCGATTGATGTTGGACCGCCATTGAAAACCTGGAAGCACTGAAGGGCCGCTTCGTCCCAGTGTGGGACTCCTCAGTGGTGTGCATCCGTGATTCCGCTCGCTAGGTTCGAACCCAGGACATACCGGTCCCGCGTGAGAGCACTTAACCTCTAGACCAATTAGCCGGCATCTAACGGTGTTAATGTCTAACCTCAACTAATCCACAAAATTGAGCGACCATTTTTCATTGTACTGAAGTAGATACCTGTCAGTACCAGGCACGGATTAGGTTTTACAATGATGGTCTAACATCAATCGGTTCAAAATCTTAATTACGAAACTTAATAATCTTCAAAACCTTATACTGATAAATCAAATTGATTCAAAAGTGTAGTGATACACTTTAGCAAATTAAAATCGAATAAGTAATTTATTTCAATTAGAATTCACATTTTTTTACTACATACTCTCATTTCTTACAAAAATAAATTTTCTTTTTGTCATTAACCGAAGTTTTTCTCTTTTAATTTTAGTTATTGTGAAATATGTAATCAAAATATATTAGGGGTTTTTTCTTTTTGTTGTTATGAAAATAATAAAATGTATAAAGAAATTGAAAAAGGAATAAAGTGACTGAATTTTTATATAAAAAACTAATTTAAACTTTATAGTTGAAATAAGTGTTACTTTTGTTGGCTTCTTTTATTGTTAATTTTTTTAATTTTGTAAATAAATAACTATATTAATAACAAATAAACTTACATTTAGAAGCCCCCAAATGCTCTGGTATGGCCGAGAGTGAAGAGAGTCTGCTCTCCTTCTCCAATCGCTCCCACATGACCACGCGTATATAGCCTCTGCCAGGGAAGTCCTACTCACTGCCTTCTCATGGCGGGGGTGTTGTTTACGGAATTAAGAAGACGAAAAACGAATGTTTGAGGCTTTAACCGGGTTGGTGGACACGGAGAGTCCACTTAGTAGGGTTGGAATACTCTGATTCCAAACCAATGGTGCACATGGGCTCCAGTACCTTGAGGGAATAAAAGGCGTATGAACCAATCGTTGCGTGTGGCGCATATGTATTTGGTGGCTCCTTGTATCAATATCTATGTGCTTAAATAGCTAAATAAATAACAAATAAACATAAACTATTTTATTGACTTGCTTCTGTCTACTTGTATCTTCACATTTGTTCAGTTTCTTGTTGGCATATATGCATACTGTGTGGACTGCCTCGATATTGCCTTAATTCACATGCACTATAAGCAAAGATGGATAGTGGCTAACAGTGGAATCGAGGATGCGTGTTTCGTCCTATTTGGGACTCGTAAGCCGGATGTACCTGCATCTCAGTATTGATGTTCACACTGGGATTCAAACCCAATAACATTTGCTTCAAACGCCATCTCGTTATCCACTTGGCTACTGGTGAAATGTGCGTCTTGGATTCCACTGCTAGCCACTATCCATCTTTTTCTTATAAAATGTTTCATTTTGTATCTTTCCGTAATATTTATGTTTATTGAGTCATACATGTGAAATTGTTTACCATGTTTACATTTGTATATTTATTTATACAATCACGCAACTAAAGTCATTTGTTCAATATTATCTTCTCAGTAGAATTATTCATAGAATTTGAATAAGTAACGAATTGCTTTTTTTTAAATAACGAATATAATGAATTTCTTATTACAACTGATGTGAATACAGTAGGAAAATATGAATTTTGAAACAAGACATTTGTAGTTATAACTTGAGAAAGAATATATGACTATTCAATTGAACTGGAAGTTCATTATCAGCATAGATATATCTAAAGAGCAATAATATCGGTAATTTTATAAAGATATGCAGTAATAAATACTTAAGTCTTGATTTCTTAAGGTTTCATTATGAAAGTAATTGATTTTAATCTCATGCATTGAATGTTTTCAAGTCTGAATTCGCACTTAACTGTTTAAAGCACTTACCTAACATTAAATAGATTTAAAAGGAATACTTTTATATTCATTGGATTTAACCGATAGGTCATCAAAATGTCTCCATTGTTACTTGAATAGTTGTATATATATGTTTTGTCAAGCATTAGGTATTCAATAATCTATATAAATAATAAGCACATCCTAGAGATTAACAAATGCAAATATTTGATGAATTTAAATATAATAAATAATCAAACAGATAACTGTTGATAGGCTTGTTTTTTTGAAAGTGTTACTCTGTAAGAAATTAACAAATGCTTATAAAACAACGTATAACTTTTATTACTAAATATAAAACCATACGCTGAAAATTTAGTAATGAATATAAGAGGACGTAGTACTGTAGTGAACAAGAACATCAGTGGGGACAATCGAATGTATTTGACAACAAATTACAGAACTTGTTAATAAAATCTAACAACCATATAGTAAATGCTTAATTTGCAAAATGTCCATCAATTGTCTCAAAATGACTCAGACTTCCTTTGTTCTGGCATTTTTATACAAATTGCATTCTGTGTTCATTCTTTACTGTTCGAACTTCTCGTCTCTCTGCTACTAGACATTCTGTTCCTGACTGACATCATATACTGCTTATGTCTACATAAGCAGCACACACCATAGTACGATGCATATGACAGAAAATCGGTTAAAATGGAATAAATTAAGAAAAAAATGATGGCTTTATTTATAAGAAAACACTGCCATATATATAACACTATTAGAAACATATTTTAAATCTTTCTTTAATTGGACTACTTGGATTGTGAAGCAAAAGACAGTTATTTAATCATAGTTGAAACATTTACCTATACGATGAAATACTTCTTATGAACTTTTGAATTCCATTTTATGTTGTTTAAAAGAAAATCAATGGAATAAAGTACTTTTATCGATAGTAAAATTTAACACTGCGTTTCTCTTTTAATTAAATTATAATAAATAAGATATATTTAAAACTAGAAACAATATTTCAATAGCTAAAATGTTTTGATTTTCTGTTGGTAACCTATTATTCTGTCAATAAGTTTATGGCGACCTACATTTGAACCAGGTAGTGGATATATAACTGCTTATGGATTCTAGTGTCAAATAAACAGGTCACAGAATGATAATTCACTCTCACTTTTACATTAATTCTCTTTTAATTAAGTTTAAAATATTTAAGAACTCTGAATACACGATTGCATTTGTTGATAGTAATGTCCTGATAAATCATTATGTAATGGATTCTTGAAAATAAACGTTTTTACATAACATCATTATCTACTTTACCATGGAATATGTGCATGGTGCTCCACATTAAATCTTCCTAAAATCGTATGCAATCTTATGTGTATTGTCCTATCAGCGCAGTAATGGAATAGAATAATAGAGCAAGCTGATGATTTTACAATAGCTGAAATTAAATCACTTCTAATATATTTCCTAACTATTTGTTTAATGACTAACTATATAGCTTGTGTAAATCTAATTGACAGTATATTGAATCAAGATTTATAAATACAGTTTGAGCTCTTGTAAATGCTACTTAACAGTAATTCAATTTCAGTGTGATTATTAGCATGACAACACTAATTCTAGTATTGATATTATGATTGCTTCACTCATCATTTCATTCTTTGTAATTTTTTTAACTTCTAAACTATTCTTACTCTTTGTTTACCTGGAAATCCAATAATAATAATGACAATTGCATAACATTTTTTACAGAACCATGCAAAATGACACCTGAGAAACTCCTATGATACATCTAAACATAAAAAAATGTATGTAAAGCATGAAAAATAAAGACATCATTCATAAATTGGATTTTAGATAAATTACACATTCAAACATAACATTGTGTAAACATTTTCATCATACCTAATTTACACAAAAACAAACAATAATTTGATAAGGAATATTTTCTAATTTGATCATTAATTATATTCTTGCAACCCATTTATTCTGATTATAAATGAACTTGCTCATTTCTATACTTCTCACATTTCTTGGATAGTTCCTTTTCCACACTGTTTGAACATTAAAACATACATTTTAAAAATCAACATATCGATTTTCTATCGTTATCAGTTCCTTGATTGTAAGTCTTCTGGTACCCTCATCAGCATAGACATTTTTATTTTAATGCAGATTATCATAACATCAATGATTATGTGGTTGATCATGATGAAATTAACCAATTAGAATTAAGAAAGAGAGACTGACAGAAATATGTCTGTAATGAGGAAATTAATCGTAGGGAAAAAAGTGGTTTTTCCTTCTATAACTTATGTATGTGTTTGTGTTTAAATTTAATGATTGTATGTAGTTGTATAACTCCGAATAAATATACTTTTTGATATAATTTATTGGCTTTATAGTGTTTGATTCATGATGATAGTTTTAAAAAAAATTCAAAAATGCTATTGTCATATATTCGAAACTAACTTTGATGAATTACATTGAATAGATTGGTTGATGATGTACAACTTAACAACAAATTCACCAAAACATTAGATATTGCTCTATATAAATAAAATTCCCCACATATTTTAATATAGTATGGATATAGTAGACAGAGTACTGATCTTCTTGTGATTTATGTCTTCAACAGGGAATACCTCTTATTCTACATCATTGTACAAAGAGACATCAAATCTTGATTTCAATCAAGGTGTTGAACCACGATCAGAACAGCAAGATATTGAATCAAATTTAAGTCCATATACTTGTAAAACGTCTGATAAAACCGCAACATCTGAATCATATAATCAAGAATTATCTCAAATATCAAATGAACACAATTTGAATTATGATGATGTCTTAACTTTACATGTTCCACAATTAAACGAAAATTTATGGCATAAAAAACAATCCTACAATTTAATCAAATATGATAAATGTCACTGTTTTGACTTCATAACACGTAAAATACGTTTAAACACTTCACATAAAGCTCAAGAAGGTGTAATGAAGAAACAATCTAAATCCTTAACTAACCGTATTCATAATGGCAATCATTTAAATTCATTTTATGAAAATGAAGTCGATATAATGATGACATCTGATGATATGAAAAACGTAAAACAAACTAAAATCCCACAAGAAACTAATGATACACCAAATGACTCTGAGGTTGTAGGGAAAAGTATGCGTTGGACAACAACTTTTTTAGCAGCGTTAAGTATATTTTTAATTTTAATCACGTTTCCATTTTCACTTGTCTATTGTATACGTATTGTCGCTGAATATGAACGAGCTGTTGTTTTAAGAATGGGTAATTTAATACCAAAAGGTAAAGGTACAAAAGGGCCGGGATTATTTTTTATTTTACCATGTATTGATAGTGTACGAAAAGTGGATTTACGTACAGTGACATTTGCAATCCCACCACAAGAATTATTAACACGTGATTCAGTAACTGTTTCAGTGGATGCAGTTGTATATTATCGTGTATTAAATCCTGTTGCATCTGTGTTAAATATTGAAGATGCTGCACGCTCTACTAGACTATTAGCACAGACAACTATAAGGAATGTTTTAGGAACTAAAGATTTGGCACAAATTCTTATGGACAGAGAAGAAATATCTACAGCTATGCAGTCTAGCTTAGATGCGACAACAGATGCTTGGGGAGTTAAAGTAGGTTTACACTTTAAATGATTTTATAATCTGACTTCTTAGAATTATTTTAAAATGTTATTTTATGTTGCACAATTATTGAAAATTAAAAATTTTACATATTTCGAGCTGATGTTTAATTTATAAAAGTATTGCTGGTGATTCTATATTCTTATTTAAACCATTGGCGTTATTTTGTATTTTGGAATACATAAATGTATATACCTCTGAAGCTTGTAGACAAATAATAGTGAGCATTTAGAAAATGCAAATGTTATGCACTTTTTGTTTAAAAAATGAATAAATAACAAGTCACTTGAATATGACTGTTGTAAACGTTACATTGATCGTAGGTATCATTATCAAGGTTTGACTTGATAATTTCTAATAAATTGAGTATTGGGTAGATTGTTATAAATAAATAACATATTTTTAATATCCCAATGAATAGAAAAATTGGATCTTCTGAGGTTTCATGACTTAGTGTAAGCCACTTTTTCGGAGAATAAAAAAATAACCAAGTCAAAATTATCCAAGTTTATTTATTCTCTGAAGAAGTGACTTACACTAATTGACGAAACATCAGAAAATCCTATTTTTCTACTTATTAAGATATTATTTATTAGTTACACTGATCGGTATGATTCTTGGTCCGGTAATTTTTGATACTTAAATACCATTACATGTGATATTGTAGTGTGGGTTACTTATATCCACACAAGTAGCATATAACGGTGGTCAGACATAGAATGTATTTCAGTAGAATGTCGATGAGGAAAGAACTGGAACGGAACGCGATTGGTATGAAAACTCATGAACAATGAAATCTAAGATAATGGATTAATGTTTGCAACAGGAACAGTGAAGTTTGATATGATGGATTGATATTTTGCATATTAACTATTTACTATATGGTTGTCAGATTTTAATGAGATGCTCTGTAATTTTGTACTCAAATGCATTCGATTGTCCCCACCGGTGTTCTGTTCACTACAATATAGTTCAAATAAGTAGTCGTCAAACGTTTACATTTTTCCTAAAAAGTCATTCATAATCACTCTTTAGGTAAATTCATTTTACAAAACGTTTTCATTAGATTTTACACTTTTTAAATGACATTTGAAATTTTTGTTGTTTATTATAATTTCGGATAATTAAGATCATAACAGTTTTGTAATTTATTTTAGAAAATGTGTATTTGTGTACGCCTGTACGATAAATTGATAGGGTGATTTAATTAACATAATGTAGATCCCTTCACTAGTGTTTAAATAGGAAACAAATTTGATATTTTGATGTAATTCAGTAAACTCTTTAAAACACCAGCAAAGGTTAGATATATATTTATATTCCTAGAATTGTCGATATTATAAGTGTGGTCATCAGAAAAATTGGAGGGTATTTGAATAAATTCTGAATAATTCAGTAATCACAAGAACAGTAATTTTTATTATCAGAGGGGATTTTTGTGGATATAATAGTAATTTCAATAGTTGAGATCATGAGTCAATTGAAGCTAGACAACCATGGAAGCACTGGATGGTCATTTCGTCCTACCGTGGGAATTCTAATCAGTGCGCATCCACGACTCCGCCTCACAAAATTCGAGCTTAAGACGTATCGGTCTCGCGCGCGAACGCCTAACCTCTTTTATATTTTTCAAACTATATAGATTGTTTAAATCCCGAAAGCGTTCTTTATCAAATAGATCTTGAAGTAAAAATCTTCTTGATATTTAGTCAAAACAGCTCTTATTAGTATTTTAAAGAGTTACTGATACTTAAAAAAATAATGGGAGACTGATCATTGGTGTATACATCTTCTAGTTAATGATGAAACTATATTCATTTTGTAATCATGTTGGAGCTTACATTTACATATCTATTTTCTTTTCTGTGTCATAAAAGCAGATTATTTATCAGTGTACTGATAAGTTTTATGATGTGATTCATCGTAAATGGGTAAATAAATGAAGAAACAATTAGAAATGAGTCATGGTTAATTAAATGCAGTTTTCTATGTGGATAAATTTATGTATTAAAACTATTTATATTCTGGTTAACCAGAAGATAAAACCATAATCAACTGTCGTTTGAATTGTAATTGCTGATAAAAATTTTATCAGTGGGTAAGCATTTGAGATAACAAAAAAACCAAAAATATAAAAAAAATCAATGTTATTCAATAAACGTAAATAAGGAAACAATGTTTTTGTTGATAAAAATGAATTATTAACAGAAGAGATTGTGTGGAGATTTTAGAAATTTTTAAAATTTTAAAAATTTCTTAAATCTCCACACAATCCCTTCTGTTAATAATAATCATCTGCTCACTAGTGACTGACTTCAAGAGACACTCCTGGAGTTCTAGTGAGAAGCCGTTACCAGTGGAGTTCAACCAGGTCTGTTGTGAGATATCAACTCACTGAAGACAATGGTGTACGGTGGTGCAACTTCGTGGATTGGTTGAAGCTAGACATTAACACCATTGCATGCCGGCTCAGTGGTCTAGTTGGTTAAGCGCCTGGCGCAAGACTGATAGGTCCTCGGTTCGAATCTCGCGAGGAGTGAGATCGTGGATGTTCACTGCTGAAAAGTCAGATACTAGAACGAAACGGCCGTCCAGTGTTCCCAGGTTTTCCATGGTGGTCTAGCTTCAATGGATTCATGATTTCAACCAGTGAAAAATGAATTAGTTTAGTTGTAATAAATGCATCATTTATTTAGTTCATTGATCATCCATTGAACTACATGATTCAATACTGCAACATAATGTCACTGATGTATGGATAATTTTACAAATATCAGGAAAAATAATTATTAATTACAAAACTAAATAAAAAAGATATTTTTGTAAACATGCATTACTGACGTTGAAATTCATCCTAATAAAACACAAGCAAAGTTGACCTTATCAATGTGAGCGAGAATTCAAATATTATTAAGTTATCTGTTTGGGGTCATATGAATATTGAAATAATGATAAATAATGCTGGAAGAAAACATCATATAAATTTTAAAAAAACTATGCTATTACGTCAATCATTAAAATACTATCATCAGTGTACTAAAGTTCACAGATATATTTCAGTTTTATTCTAACTTCTAAATAAAAATATTCTATCAATGGCTGAACTTGTATTGGTATAACCTTTGATTCATTTTCCACAAATAAACAAGGAGTTTATTTTTAGTCACTGATGGACAACTTCAATAAAATTTATTTATCTATTTATTATTGTTAGCTTTATTCAATATTATATTTTTGGTGCAATATAGAATTCGCAGCACAAGACATTTCAACATGTTCCCTTTCTTTATTTCTTGATCGATCTTGACGATTAATATTGAGTGATCGCCAATTAGATGTTACCAGTTCAGGAATCAACATCTGAATAATGTATATTCTTTTCAATGCATATTGCCAGTAACCACGATGTCTGATTGGGCTCTATTGTAACTTGTATAGCGGAATATCATAAACCTTACACAAACGCATCTGAGTAGATTATGAGACTAATAGGTATAAAGATGTATTAAAACAAACAAAAATACTGATAACTTGTTGAAATATCCAGATGGTAGGAACAGGTAGCCCAGATATGCAACCACGCCGCCACTTATATAGTCATAGATTAGTAAATGATTGTCGCTTTTCTCTGTATTGATGATAGAAATACTTTATAATATGGAAAAAATATTTATATTATCCCACAAAATTGAGTGACAAATCAACCATTTGTGGGTTAGTTGAAATTAGTCATTAACATCGTTGGATGTCGGCTCAGTGGTCTAGTGGTTAAGCGTTCGCCCGCGAGACTGATAGGTCCTGGGTTCGAATCCCGCAAACGGGATCGTGAATGCGCACTGCTCAGGAGTCCGATACTAAGATGAAACAGTCGTCCAGTGCCTTTAGGTTTTCCAGAGTGGTTTAGCTTCAACAGACACATGATCTAAACGATTATAATTACTACAATCTCCACAAAAACCCCTTTTGATTTAAATTTTCATTTGAGAATGATTATTAATTTTGTAAGATTATAACAATCATACTGATATATAATCTCTCATAAATGATGTTAAGCAATTTTATGAACTATATATGGTCAGTCATGTTAGAAATTTTAACGTATTCAATTAATACAAACGGAATAGCTGTAAATGTTTTTTACTAGGTGGATAACTTGACATAATAGTTAAATGTCATAAAAATGAAAACTGAATCTGTTGTAATATTCAACAGTTAATGTAATTAATGTGCACAATCAATAAAATAATCTGTTAATAACAATACTACTACTACTACTACTACTACTACTACTACTACAAATAACAATGATAATAATAATAATAATAGATATCTATTTTGCATTTTAAGCTCTATAAGAAATATAACTTCAGCAGTGTAGTCTATAAACATGAGAAATTTCAAGTTACAAGCCTTATTATGTAATCAATCAGGGATGAAATTTTTTTCTATAATAAGATGTATCTATAATTTCTATTTAGGTAATTTATCATTATAAATAGTTTATTGAAATTTTTATTCAGTGAATTACCAAGATAAGAAATTTTTTATAACTACGTTGTATTCGTCACAGATTCCCCTCAATTGTAGTACCTTTGAGAGATGAGAAGCATCCTCTTCAGAGCGCAGGTTAGGGAGCGAATACAAGGTTCTACATAGTTCGAAGTTGGCCTTACGTCACTAAGCCACAGAGTTGGTTACCAATATATGTTTCCAACTTCAGTCAACTTGAAATATTGTGTAACTGCCATCCAATGACATTGGTTACTACTGGTTTTCTTTTAATATGGCTAAACTGTGGAAGTCATAACTTTCCATGAGAAATGCTCAACTCATAGTAAGTCACCGGTGGTACGCGATTACAACATTGGTAGAGGGGTAGTGCGTAAACCGCTTTGATTTCAGGGCGGAATTTTTCACTGTCTAACATCTGTTGGAGTACCATTGAAAAGTGTGATCAGTATGTGACGAATACCATAAAACACATATATCAC